AGACAACGCTTTTTCAGTTTCAGCTAAAGAACGATGACCAGTAAATTTTCAAACGTGCTGCCAAGCCATTTCAAATGCATTATGGCCCTGCACCACCCCCAAGAGCAAAAGCAACTCTCAGTGTTTATGCTCTAACATTGATGGCAAACCCAGCTGACAAAGTTAAGTTCGTCACAGGCGTCCATGGACTCTTGTCATCCTTGGCAATTTCAATCAGAGTTGGTCACAATTGCCTGGCAATGAAAGGGAGGGCTTGGAAACAGAATGAAAATGGGCATCTGCTCTCGAACTTCTACACAGAAGAACAGCTGTTTGTAACTAACACCTTCTTACAACAAAAAACTGCTTCAAGACTGCACAGATGCATCCCTGTTCTCAGGGTTTGACCTAGGGTTAGGCCTAACCATCTTCAACACTTCACCAGTGACCTTCTTTGCATCTTAAGGTCAGAAGTGGGGATGTTTGGACACTGTTCAGTACCATTCATGACGACTCAGATAATGAAACACACCATATCCAAATGCAGATAGACCATGACCATATCCAGGTTTGTGCTGAAAAATGTGACAGAACGCTTGTACCACACAACTGCCAGCCAATGACCATTTCTAACAAGAGAGAATCTAATCACCATCCCTACACATTTAATAGCTCTACTATTGCTGAATCCCTGACAATCGACATTCTGGGAATTACCACTGAACTGGACTAGCCAGATAAATCCACTGGCTAAGAGAGCAGGGCCGGAGGCTACGAATCCTGCAGCTAGGTAACTCACCCTCCGAAAGCCTTCCAGAGATCTGTTATGGTACAATCAGGAGTATGATGGAATCCTCCCCACATGCCTAACACCACATCCATCATCATTCACGTCCTCCACCAACAACACTCGATAGCAACGTGTACTGTCTGCAAACAGAAATTCACTAAAGTTCTTTAAAATCATCTTCCAAACCACTGGCCATAACCATCTAAAAAATGGGAATGTCATCATCTACAAGTTTCCTTCCAAGTCACTAACCATCGAGACTTGAAAATACATCACTGGTAATTAGGTCAAAATCCTGGAATTCAGTCCCTAACTGCACTGTGGGTCTATCTACAGCATACAGAATGCTCGAGACCATAGCTCATCACCATCTCCAAAGACAAATAGGGATGGGCAACAAATGCTGGCCTAGCCAATGATGCCTGTGTCCCATGAATGCTTGATAATAATTTTGAAAAATACTCCGTCGACACAATGGGTCACGCAAGCACACCAAGATGTAGCCTAAATGATGTCCTTCACAGACATGTCATGCTATCCAGCAGTTCATTCACTTTTCAAGCCTAAGACCAAAATCAGACGTAACAACCAAAGACATTTTGAGTCAAGCTGCAAATCTGAAATTCATCTTGCAGATATAGCCACAAGTGACTTTCCAGAGCAGTCTAGAGAACTCCAATCACACTAATGATTCCTCTCCTGAAGAATCTGCAAACACAAGGTTGTAGATTGGATATATCCAATGTGGCCATCAGACCCAGCAAGAAGAAAAGGAAACGGCTTAACAAAAATGACAAGGAAATCCAAGACCTGCTTACAATAAAAAGTGGTCGAGAACACCCTCGATCGTATCTCCCGCATTTCCCGCAACTCATCCCTCACACCCCGTCCCCGCAATAACAACCAAAAAAGAATCTCCCTTGTCCTCACGTACCACACCACCAACCTCCGGAACCAACGCATCATCCTCCGACACTTCCGCCATCTGCAATCCGACTCCACCACCAAAGACATTTTTCTCTCCCCACCCTTATCTGCTTTCTGTAACTCTCTCCGTAACTCCCTTGTCCGCTCCACACTCCCCTCCAGCCCCACCACACCCGGCACTTTTCCCTGCAACCGCAGGAAGTGCTACACCTGCCCCCACACCTCCTCCCTACCCCCATCCCAAGCCCCAAGAAGACTTTCCACATCAAGCAGATGTTCACCTGCACATCTGCTAATGTGGTATACTGCATCCGCTGTGGCCTCCTCTACATCGGGGAAACCAAGCGGAGGCTTGGGGACCGCTTTGCAGAACACCTACGCTCGGTTCGCAATAAACAACTGCACCTACCAGTCGCGAACCATTTCAACTCCCCCTCCCGTTCCTCAGACGACATGTCCAACCTGGGCCTCCTGCAGTGCCACAACGATGCCACCCGAAGGTTGCAGGAACAGCAACTCATATTCCACTTGGGAACCCTGCAGCCCAATGGTATCAATGTGGATTTCACAAGTTTCAAAATCTCCCCTCCCCATACCACATCCCAAAACCAGCCCAGCTCGTCCCCGCCTCCCTAACCTGTTCTTCCTCCCACCTCAAGCCGCACCCCCATCTCCTACCTACTAACCTCATCCCGCCCCCTTGACCTGTCCGTCCTCCCTGGACTGACCTATCTCCTCCCTACCTCCCCACCTACACTCACCTTTACTGGTTCCATCCCCGCCTCTTTGACCTGTCTGTTTCCTCTCCACCTAGCTTCTCCTCTATCCATCTTCTATCCACCTCCCGTTCTCTCCCTATTTATTTCAGAACCCCCTTCCCCTCCCCCACTTCTGATGAAGGGTCTAGGCCCGAAACGTCAGCCTTCCTGCTCCTCTGATGCTGCTTGGCCTGCTGTGTTCATCCAGCTCTACACCTCGTTATCTCAGATTCTCCAGCATCTGCAGTTCCTACTATCTCTGATACAATAAAAAGGTCAGCTCATCAGTCTTACCTGGCTTGGTCAGTCAGCGGAAAATGACAGCATTCCGCAAAGTAAGCGCCATTCAAAGCTAATGAAGGAACGTCCAAAATTACTGGTAGATTGTACTGTAAGAACTCAACTACACCATTACTAGCAACACAAGAAGCTTCAAAGTAGTGATAACATCTGTCCACAGACCAGCACATCAATCCAAAAAGCTTAGTAAAGCCAATGGTAAGATGTTATACACTGAAAAGGCATCAGTTTTTGATTGATGGTTAGAACATTTGGAAAAATATTTCAATTCCAAGGGCACAAGGCAAGATATTGCAACAACAGTCCATCAAGAAAGAACTGGAACAGAACCAAATTCTGGACGAAACTGTGACTGCCATTACCTTAAGGGGGGAGTTCATGTATGTCTTTGAGTTGCTGAAGATATTATCAACCTCAGGCAGCTTCATGTTCAGATAAAGACACAAGAAAACTCACCTGTGAGCTTCTTTTCGCTGATGACTGCACTGCCCCGGCCCACTGTCAGTCAGACATACAATATATTGTATTGTACATAACACATCTTTCCAACGCAGCACAATTCCTCAGTTTTCTTTGATTTTAGTCCGAAGTCTGGCAGCCCAAGAAGAATACAGACTTCCAAAGCATCATCACCACAGGAAATGAGGTGGATGTTGTCAAGCAACTTACCTATTTGTGGACTGTCATTTTGTTAGATGCATCCATAGAAGTGGAAGTGGACGTGGACAATAAGCTTTGAAAAGCTAACAGCATATTCGAGAGACTCAACGTGGAGCAACCATGGCCGCAAAACAGACCAAAATCTCACAGTGTACAAAACTGTGGTTCTCTCCATCTTTCTGTATGATACAAGTAATGGATCCTGCACAGCATTTTCAAGATCCACTGGAAGGACTGCACTGCAAACAGCCAAGTCTGGAAACAGTCAACATCACCAGTGTCGAGACTAATTTCATGCAAAGTCAATTACATTGGGTGCGTCACATTGCCTGGATGGATAACCTGTTCAAGATCATGCTGAATGGAGAACTGATCATTGATAAACATAATGGAGTCCCCAGTCCAAACATTCTCAGGTCTCCCTGAAGAAATCCGTGTGGTAGATAGATTAGCATCAGTGGAAAGCACAGGCCTTTGACTGCAACTCCTGAGGCTATTATATCAGGAGTGCTCAAGGCCTTTGGGACTGAGCATGAAGGAGAAAAGGAAGAAAAACAAACAATCCAATTGCCCCTAGTAGCAACAATGCCTTGATTTGCACCTGGTGAGAGAAAATCTGCCCAGTCAGGAAGAGATCTGACTAGCCATCTCCAGGCTTGAAACTAGCGAGTACAATCTTCCTTAAACATTTGTCCTTGAATAAATGCCGAGAGATGTCACAATTTTAAGAAGCATGTCAGTTAGTAAACAATGCACACCACCTTGAACTAAAAAAAAATCCAACATTGCCTCCTTGCAGAGTATCCATTCTATTTTCAGAAAAGCCAGACAGTAGCTCTGCATTCAAGTGCACCAGAACAAGCAGGGAATAGACACTGAACGGCCAATGGGTTTAAACAACTTTGCTCTTCAACAACAAAAATGTGTTTCACTGGAGGTGCTCCAAATGCACTCAGCCAGACTTACCAGTTTGAAATTCAAGCATCACTTCCCAATAACTCTTACAATCTTGGTGGATAAGAAAAGGTTACACAGGGTGGCTAAAAGGTCAGGAGACGAAGAGTAACTCATTTTAGGTACACAATGAAGAGATGGAGAAGTTATACACAGTATATTACCTCAGGTTCAATCAGGCTACTAAGAAGAGACCTCAGATTTTGAGCAAAATAGAATTAATATTCCTTCACAATAGAAAATAAATTATCTGCCAAGAACTTCAAGGGCATTCAAAATACTAAACAAGGCACATCAAACTTTACAGAATAATCTGATGGACTTTCCCCAATTATACGAACAAGAGTCGTGGATAAAAAAACTAAATATGCCTCATTTAGTGCAAATTTTTCATTTCAAAATAATTCATATGGTTCTCCTACTACACTTCAAATTTATTACTGTTAAGAAACTCTCATTATCAAATATCTCAGATGGTTCTTTCAGCAAGTTTATGCACATGGAGCAGCACACACACTAAAAAAAAACGTTTCGTATACACAAGAAGAGTAACTTGTTAATATTAATTCCACTTCTATCTAATCTTTGACAAGTAAAAATAAATTGAAGTGTGTTTTGTAACGAATGCTTACCTGAAGCTCCCCATGCACTGTCCCGCCACTGATCCCCAAGAAATATCCCTTTAGGTCCATCCTTGTTTGGATCATCAGACTCCCAGAACTTCTTACCAGGCAGAAGCTGCTGCGGATGACAAAGAAAAAATTTTTAGAAAAAAAATGGAAACAGAAAGCACACGTCAAAGCAAAGCAAAACAGAACTTGTTTTTGTTGCTATGCATTGCAAGACCTAAAGCCTGGTTAATATACTGATCAGCAACAGAACCAATGGAAAATCGCCAGCTGTGTTCCCCCTTCCCCACCCCACTGTGAGACATCCAGTATTTGCTTGTGAAATGCTCTTCTGCTAAGTCAAGTTTTCCCAAAATTTCTTCCAAATTGACATTTTTTCCAAATTGACATTTTTTCCAAATCTGCTTTTTAAAAAAAGGCAGCCACAACTTTCCACTGGCCAGCTCAAAAATCTTAAAACAAAAATCAAGGTTGGGTAATTAATCGACTGATTGTAATGTCATGTGTACCAAGATACAATGAAAAGCTTTGTTTACAAGCGGTACAGGCAGATCATAGTAAGCAAAGGCTTGGAGACATACAGGTTACATTTTTGAGGCTACAGTGCATTCAACAGTCTGATAAAAGCCAGAAAGAAACTGTTCCTGAACCTGCTCCTGCGTGTGTTCAGGCTTCTGTGTCTTCTGCCTGACAGAAAGGGTTGTAGGAGATCATTACCAGGGTGCGATGGATCTTTGATGATGTTAGCTGCCCTTCCATGGCAGTGCGCCATGTAAATAGAGTCCATGGATGCAAGGGTGGCTTCCTTGATGGTCTGGGCTGCGCACAACACCTCTGTAGTTTCTTATGGTCCTGGGCAGAGCAGTTGCCGTACCAGGCCGTTATGCACCCGGGACAGTATGCTTTCAATGGTGCATCTGCAGAAGTTGATGAGGGACCTTACGGACGTGCCAAATTTCCTGACATCACAAATTAATTAGCAAATAGAAGGTGATCAACTAATAAGGTGGGAAAAGCCAGACAGGTGGGTGGAAATGGTTCAAGGCTCATTTCCGAATCTGCGCTGGTTTCCTGATTGGAGATGCCATTAAACTGAACTGCCCACATTTTTCCTGAGGAGAGGGAAAAAAATGAGATACAAACAAGAAACTTCTACTGAAAAATTCATCTGGATATTTATCAAGAACAGGATCCATCATTCTCCAGATTCATTTATGAAATATTGGCGAATGGCCTTTGGAGGACAGAATGCCCTACTTCTGCTCCTACATCTTATAGTTGGGGTGGATAGCCTGCAATAGTCCATGTGCATGGAGAATTTTAATAATATGACACTAAATAAAGCAACTTTGCTCAGTCAACTGGTGCTGGGAGCAAGACAAAGAACCATTTGGTTGTAACATATGGGCAAACAGAAGGCAGACAAGTGAACATCCCTGAGGTTTTTATCAATATTATACAATTTTCCAATGGACAGACACACAAGAACAGAAATTTCTTAAAAAGCACAGTGACTCTTTGCAAACTCCTCCCCAAACAGATAACATCCACAGGCGTGCAAGAACTGCTAAGATATGAAAAATAACAGTTTTACAAAAATCCTAACAAAACACTGTTCTGACAACAATACTTCACTCTCCCTGAGCAACGATTTTAATAAGTCTTTCAGCAATTAATAACCTAGATGGTGATTACAGATTGTTTTTCAAAAACACACATCAAAAGAGCCTGAAATGTATTTTAAATCTTCAATTAATCCAAGAAATACATTCAAATACAGTGTAAAATTAAAACTGTGCTAACAAAAGATCAACTTAATGCTTCAGCTAGATGAGTACATGGAGGCTGCAATCAGCTCAAAGCTCAAGGATAACTAGTGAGTGTTACATTTCCTAACATACACATCAATGATCTAAATACGGTGATTAATGTTTTACTTCGTATGGCATCTCCAAGATTTGGAACCTAGTGTTTATTCATGAATTGTTCTGAGATCAGAGGTAAGATTACCCTGCTGTGGCATAAAATTACACATTTTTAAAAAGAAACACTCCATCCAAATGTGGAAATGCATTGAGAAAAATCACATTTTCTATTGCTTGTTTTGCAAATAGACCATGAAAATAAATAATGTGTATTTAAACATATTGCAGGTTTTGATTATTAAACACCAAAAACTTTCCAGGGATTGATTTATGCGAATATGCTCCCCCAGGCACCCTGAATCTCATTCTTTTTGTACCATGCTTTATTTAAAATACCAATAATTCATAACTGAATGCTTATAAATAAGACATATTTGCACACCTGCACTGGCTACCACAAAAAAGTTTTGAATTAAAGTTTAAAAGGACAAATATCATTCCAAAGGAACAGAAGTCCTTAGCAATTAAGTGCGCAAAATTTCCACTGCATTTCAAAAAGGCCTGAACAATCACTATTGCTAATCTTGGCTTTTTGAAGAACTTACATTCTACAAAGTAATACAGCAATGAGGTGACAAAACAAGAAGTGCAAGACACTTGCTCCATTATGGCTTTGCCCTTCAAAATCCAAGGTGGATCTGACATTCCTAATATACAAGACCATAAGATATTTCAGCAGAATTGGGCCTTCAGGCCCACCAAGTCTGCTCCGTCATGCAAGTATGGCTTGCATATTTCTCAACCCCATTCTCCTGCCTTCTCCCTGTAACCCTTGATCGCCTGGTTAATTGAGAACCTACCTATCTCTGCCTTAAAGACACACTCAGTTACTTGGCCTTCACGGCCCTCGGTGACAATGGTTAATCAGTGGAGCTCACTTTCTGGCTGAAGAAATTCCTCTTCATCTCAGTTCTGAGGGGTCACCCCTTCACTCTGAGGGTATGCCCTCAAGTGCTAGTCTCTCCTATGACTGGAAGCACATTATACACATTAACTCGATCCAGGCCCCTCAGTATCCTGTAATTTTCAATCAGATAGCCTCTCATCCTTCTAACCTCCATCGAGTACAGACCAAGAGTCCTCAACCACTCATATGACAAGGCCTTAAACCGTGGGATCATTCTCGTAAACCTCCTCTAGACCCCCTCCGACACCAGCACATTGTTCCTTAAACACGGGGCCTAAAACTGCTCACAATATTCCAAATGCAGCCTGACCAAGCCTTGTACCGCTCAGGCTGTACATCTCTGCTCCTATATTCTAGTCCTCTTGAAATGAATGCTAACATTGCATGTGTCTTCGTAACTGCCAAGTGAAAATGCATGTTAACCTTAAGAGAATCCAGAAGTAGGATTCCCAAGTCCCTTTGTGCTTCAGATTTCCAATGCATTTCCCCATTTAGAAAATAGTCTACACCTCTATTCGTCCTAGCAAAGCATAACCTCACACCTTCCCACATTTTATGCTTTCAGCCACTTCTTTGCCCACTCTCCAGCTTGCCCAATTCCTTCTGCAGCCTCCCCGCTTCCTCAATACTATCTGTCCCTCTACCTCTATCTCATTTGCAAATTTAGTGACAATGCCCTAAGTGCCTTCGTCCAGACTGTTAATGTGTAACATAAATAAACAGGGTCCACTGCAGAACTCCACTCGTCACAGACTACCGACCTGAAAAAGACCACTTTATCCCTACTTTCTGCCAGTCAGCCAATCCTCTGCCCATAACACCATGGGCTCTTGTCTTGTTTACAGCCTCCTACACAACACCATGTCAAAGACCTTCTGGAAATCCAAGCAGATCACAGAAAATCCAACAGACCACGTCCATTGGCCCTCCTTTGTCTCATGTGCTTGTCACCTCCTCAAAAGAATTGTAACAGAATTGTCAGGCATAACCTCTCCCTGACCAAGTTGCGCTGTCTCAGTCCTATTTTACCATACATTTCCAAGTAATTTGCAATCTCATCCTTAATAATGGGCTCTAAAATCTTCCCAATGACGGAGGTCAGGTTAACTCGCCTATAGTTGTCTTCTGTCTCCCTTCTTAAACAGGGATGTTGCATTAGCCATTTTCCAGTTCTTTGGGATATTCCCTAACTCCAGTGATTCCTGAAGGATGGCTCAACAATGCCTCTATAACCTCCTTCATATCTCTGGGGTGTAGTCCATCTGGTCCGGATGACTTATCCACTTTAGACCTTTCAGCTTCCTCAGCGCCTTTTCCTCAGTGACGGCCACTACACTCACCTCTGCCCCCGACTCTCTCGCAGTTCTGGCATGCTGTCGGTGTCTTCCTCTGTGAAAACTCATGCAAAGGACCTATTCAATTTCTCTTCCATTTCTCTGATTTCCATTATAACTTCTCCAACCTCATTTTCCAGTGGTCCAATGTCCAGTCTTGCCTCCCAATTACCTTTTAGATGTCTAAAACAAAAAAACTTTTACAGTCTTCTTTTATATTACTAGCTAGCTTACTCTCACGTCATCTTCTCCACGTTATTGCTTCTTTTAAATTATCCTCTGCTAGTTATTAAAGGCTTCCCACTAACCTTCACCACATTGTATACTTTTTCTTTTTGCTTTCATGCTGTCCCTGACTTTCCTTGTCAGCCACAGTTGCCCCATCCTCCCCTTAGTAGGTTAGTACATTGCAAAGAACACATCAAATTCCTCAACTTCTCGATGAACTGTAAATGCTTCCAAGCATTTACAGCTCCCAAACAAAAGGTACCTCAGTGATTCTATACTGCAGAATTGTAAAAATCAGCTTCACCACCGTGTTGGCAATGGAGACATCTGGCATAACTACAAGACATGCAAAGTCACTTGTTTTACTTTTCAAAGAAGAAGTGTACTGTCTAAAGACTTGCAATCAAAAAAGCAGTAAAATGCTTCTATTGATGCAAACACTGGAGGGAGGATAGTCTACTGTGGCTAAGGAAAGTCTGCTTCCCCAATGGAAAAATCTATTCATACAACTGTGCAAACAGCTGCCAAAAATGTCATTTTAATTGATTCAGTTCAAGCACGTGTGGCATCATATTTCAGTAAAAAGGACGTTAATAATGGGATATAAGTATGACATTGGTATTGTACACATTTTGCATCCTTCATGCACATATACACCAAACAGCATATTTCAATGAAACTATTAGAAATATATCCAGCAAACTACAATTCCTCAATG